ATAATAATAATAGCAGCAAAATCAATGACTCTAGTCACAAGGCAGCCTGCTTTCCCATCATGGCACTCTGCTAAAGATGCCTTCCAGGTGCTTAGACCACCTATCTTTAAATACATAAATAGACAATAATGAAATTTTAGGAAACAGACCACCATCTATTTCATAAAAATGAAATAATTAATTTATTCCCCTCAGTACAGCATACCTGGCACTGGGTAAAGAGTTGTATATACCGTAAGTGACAAACTACACTTAGCAGAGCAGAAATTAACTTCTCTACAAAGAAGTAAAGGAAATGTCTTTTAAAATAATTGCAACACTGGCCGTTGCATTTAGAAAAAGGTGTATTTATGATAATAATAATCTAATGACAACCTTAGAACTGCAGAACTGGAAAGAAGACTCCATGGCTCATCGAGTCCAGCCTCCTGTCAAGGAGGCACAGTGGGGAATCGAACTCCCAACCTCTGGCTCCAAGGCAACGAGCTATCCAGCAGTTGCATGCACATACCTGATAGCATACACCAGTAGTTCCCAAATTTGTGGACAGTCAGATGTTCTTCAGTTACAACTCTCAGATGCCCCAGCCAGCCAGCCAGCCAACGGTCAGAGATTCTGAAAATTACTGCAAGGGCATCTGGAGCCTCAACGTTTAGGAATCACTGTTGTATACAAGACTGCCGGGAGATGGGGAGGAGGGGACCCAAACACCATTCAGTTGGAATGACAGATGCTCAACGGGAAAGCATAACCAAGGTTTTCACAACAACACAACCCAAGGCTGTCACCAGCCTGTCGCTTACTTGGCAATACTCCAGGAAGGCTCAATGGCTGTGATAACTGGGTCAGGACTGTAGCGGAAGGAGATGGTGCCATTGGGGCTGATGTTAGCACGGTCAATGCGCAGGCTGAGGTTGGCAGGACCTGGGCCTACTGCCGAGGGGGGAGACAGGCAGACAATCTCCCCTGTGCTACGCCTTGTGGAGGGAAGAAGGGAAAAAGGAAGTTAGAGTCACCACTCCTAAAAACAGCCCACCTATAAATCACTTTATATTTTCAAAGATTATGTTCTCCTCAGCCTTTGTAAAAAAAAATACCAGGGAGTTCTTTCAGCCTGAGGGCTGAATTCAGTCTTAGAGAAGTTCTCAGGTGCTGCATTCAAGCGCTGGACAGGGTCAAAAGGTGAAAAAGCTGAGACCAAAAGTAACAGCAGATTTCTGTTGCAAAGCTCCTATTGCCAGTAATTACATTTTAGGAGTGGTGTTTTAAAATAAGGAAATGGGGGGGGGGGAACCCAAGCAAAAGCTGGAGAGAAGCAAAAGCATGGCCCTTGATGTCAGCCAACCTGTGGAGAATGATTTTCAAAGGACGGTCATGAGGCAGGGGGCATGGCTGTTTGGGGAATCCCACAGAGGCCAGACTAGGACTCCAAGAGGGCCAGATTCAGCCCAAAGGCTCGAGTTTTCCCACACCTGCTTCAAACAGCTCTTCCATTTTGCCCTCCCTTTCATAACCTTCAGCAAGACATAGGACCACCTTTCTTTCAGACCACCTAAATCAAAGGGCATTTATTTATTCCTTTTTATGTGTCTATATAATTCATAGCTTTTTCATGCACATGAGTAGATTAGCGGGCAGACATTGACCTGAGGTTACCCAGCAGTAATGGCTGAAGGGATTTCAATCCGGGTTTCTACAGCTCTAGTCTCTTGCTGTACCCATTACACCATACTGCCAGTCAGTTTTATGTACAGATTTTTACTTTAGAACAATGAATTATCTGAGGCCAGAAAGAGTTGGACAATCCTCCACGTGTTGCTGGATTGCAATTCCCACCAATCCTGACCACTCAGTATTTTAGTCAACGCTGATGGGAACTTCAATACGAAATCATCTGAAGGACTCACTCTGGCCACCCCAGGTCCAGAGACAGCAGAAAGTCTGAGCGATCTGTGTGGGTCACATTTTCCAAGTTACTACAAGGCAAAATTACACTGTATAGCACCCTGCTTGTTGAGCGATTAATCTTGAACCTAGCCAAGACCGCCAAGGAAAACCTGAACGCTGCCCCAAAAATACCTCAGCAGCTGACATGGTGCTCCCCTGATCGCAACACTGACATTGCTCCCAGCATCCAGATGGGACCCTAAAAGGCTGATTTTTGTTCCACCTGAAGCAGGACCTCGTTCTGGGTCCACACCATGAAAGCTGGGTGTCTGTATGGGGCAGAAATGAATTGTGAATTGTCAGTAGAAATAATCCAGAGAGAGAACTTACTTAGTATTTCAAAGACAGCATTTATGTATTAATAAAAAAAAGTTTGTACCCCTTTTTGTACCAAGAAAGCTAACATTTAAAACTAGTAATAAAAAAACCTATAAAGTTACACAAACACACACAGATAAAAAAAAATGCAACAACAATACAATGGGATCATCATTCAAGGACTTCCCACTTCCACAAGCTGTTATTCTTCCAGGCATTAAATCATGTTGGGATTATAGGATACCCTTCCACTCAAGCTCATCAAAATACCTTCTGAAAGGGTAAAAAAAGAGGCAACTTCTATCAAGTACTTTTTTATTATAGAAACCAAATATAAATATTTACCCTCCACCCCATGTCTAGGCAGCATGGGTCCTGTGGACCATATGAAATGCCCAGGGCCATTTTGCAGCCCCTGCAACCCTAAAATCCCAATTAATCCTCGGGACACACAGGGACAATTTTACTATGTTTGGCGCCCCCTCAACAAAGCGGGGGCTCATCTTACTCCCATTTTAAAATTAAAATATTTTTAGACACTAGAGGGCAGAAGATTTCTTTTGAGTAAAAAAACCCCTATTTTTCATCAAACCCATTTTTCATTTAACAAAAAGTTGCAAACTTTACAGCACATAACTACTGTATTATTATTTTTTTAAAAAATTAAACAACTCATATAATAACAATTAAATATGTAAATTCACTGATTTGCTCTCTTTCCCTACCTGCAGCCCTACCTCTTGGGGGTGTAAACTTTGAGATGCCACCAATTCTTTTTTTTAAAAGGCCCTTGGCCCCACTAAGACCACCCAGCCCAGCCCTAATCCCAAACCCTGATTACCACAAAGGTGAAGGGAGTATCTGATTGGGTCCGGTAGTCAGCACTGCAGTCTCCTACACAAAGCTCCACGGGCCCAGGGGGAGGGTCGGGCAAAAGTGATGGCTCCAATTCACACACCAGCCTGAGAGGAGACAGTGCCATATTATAAACAAACAAACAAAAAAGGGGGAACTCCCTCTCCTAACCATTGTCACTTCACTTTGTGCCCTACAAGTCCCATCCAGCCCACCACCTTCGATTCTCATAGGTGTTGATCTTCACAACCAGCCCCACTGCTAGCCCTTAATAGCATCACCTACAACTTCGGGGCCTTATTGTCTTGTTCATCTACCAGTATGATTTACGCCGCCTTTTGCCCACATCCTTTGCCATCTGCATTTTACTTAAGACAGGCGGGGAAGCTCTCTGCACAAGAGCATAAATGGACACAAATCTGACACCAAAACAGCAGTACACAAACACAAGCTTCAGGACGCTTCAGCCTCCCAGGACATTCTGTTACTGATCTGAAATCTGCTGTTGTGGAAAAAAGAAATTACAGCACCAAGAAAGGTGTGAGAGGGAGACAGCTGAGCCAGGTTTCATTTACAGATTCCAGAATGTGTCAAAACAAAAACTTTAATTAATGGAAGATCTAGAGTTCTTGCCTCAATATGTATATATATATTAACAAGCACTTTTCTTTTCTTCCTGGTGTTTAGACACCATTATTGATTCTAGCCACAGAACCAGAGGATGGTTCAGAAAAAATAACAGTCACTTAATTTTTACACCTCATCTTTTTTGCACCTCGAGGACAACCTCTACCAGACACTTACATGCTTAGATATAACAAGATGTTTATACAATCTACACTTTCAAAGCTCATTATTCCTGTTCATAATGCTACTGTCACTTTGAAACTTAATTTTTTTAATGCCTGTAATCCTTTCCCTTTGCTCCCCGCTCCCACAAATTAAACTTGTACACAAATCTGGGGCCAAATATTTCTCTCCATATGACTGAGAACATACATTGTAATCCATAGGTGCTTACACTGAAATCAGTTTTTAACGTGTTCTTTTTAAGACCTTGCAACGCCTTTGAGAACATCTGAAGGCCCAAGGTTGGGGACCACGGCTTTAAGACCTTGCAACGCCTTTATTTTGTTTTTGCTTTCCATGCTGAAACAAACTAACACGACCACTTGCTTGAAAACCCTCACAGAGACACTGCGTGCTGTTTTCCAGGATCAAGACCACCACAGGAAACTGGTGGACTTGGTTGCCTTTGGAAGCAAAGAGGGTCCGCCCTTCCCACATTTTGTTTTTGCTTTCCATGCTGAAACAAACTAACACGACCACTTGCTTGAAAACCCTCACAGAGACACTGCGTGCTGTTTTCCAGGATCAAGACCACCACAGGAAACTGGTGGACTTGGTTGCCTTCCAAGGCTGGAAGAAGCTGTTGAGGCCTGGACAGAGAGACCTCCTGAATAGGCTTATCTGTTTTCCAAGTGAATCTGTCCACCTGGCCTATGCCGTTTCCTCCTCCCATTTTGTGAGGGAAGGCCACGGAATCAACAGTGATTCTCCACCATCACCAAAGAGACCTTCAGGGCCTCCTCTAACTTAACACTTGTCAGCCTGGGGCATGCCAGAAATACCCATGCCTATTCCGTGCTTTAGCCAGCTTTGCCAAAGAAACTGCCAGGCTTCCTTACTAGCATAAGACAACCGCAGCCTAGTGGGAAGAGAGGATGGGACTGGTTCATAGCCTTGTTTCATACACAGAGAAGGCACTGCATATCCTTCCCGCCCCCCCTTCTGGATGCCCAGACTTTGTCCAAACAAAATGCAGAGAAATCGCAGTACCCTAATGGTAGGGGGCACAGGATTCCTCCTCCGCCCCTCGCTGCCACATACAGGCCCGAGATCATGAAAACAGGACGATCAACACATTGTGCCCTGACACCTCAAAGTTCACTTTAGCACATTCAAGTGAGACTGAGAAAGGGGAGGAGGAGAAAGGCAGAGGTGAGAGGGAGAAAGGAAGGAGAGATCGTTCTTGGCGGTTTAGGTCAGGTTTACCAAACAGATAATTTCTGACCATTAAAATGCCCATTTCTGAGACGGTATTTAAGGGGAAAACAGCACAACAGGTTATGCAGTGTGTACCAAAAACATATATCCTATTTCAAAATGGTATATCTTAATTTGATGGCCTTCTATGTGCCATATATCTTTCCGGTATTATCATATACATGTGCAGTAATGGCCTAATGTATTTTGCTGTCTTAGGAAGGAGAAGACACCCCCCCTTCCTAGCATATTTCACTTAGAGAAGCCAACAAGGCAGGCAGTTGAATCTTAGCTTTTACACAGGCGTACACTGTTCATAGGGACAGTATTCTGTGTCACAAGAACATGGCAGACCACCTGAAGGCATGCCAGACTGGCTTTGTAAAACATTTTACTCTGTCCTCCAAGACAGAGGAAGAGCCAGTGATGGGGGCCCTTGTGCTCCTGGTCCATCACTCAGCATCTGCCTCAATCTGTCTAATGGTAAGACCAGCCCTGAAGGAATTCCAGACAAATAAAATAAGATGGAAATGTTTTTCGGTAAAAGATTATTTTTCACAGGTTATATTTTTGATTATTTTGCTTGATTCCAATGAAGTCTGCCTTGTCGTGACAAAGGGGCTTGAGTAATTCAGAGAAGCTATGGGCTATGTCGTGCAGGGACACCCAAGACGGACAGCTCATAGTGGAGAGTTCTGACTAAACGCAATCCACCTGGAGTAGGTACTGGCAATGCCACTCCAGTATCTTTGCCAAGAACGCCCCATGATCAGAAACAAAAGGCTAAAAGATATGACGCTGGAAGATGGGCCTCTCAGGTCGGAAGGTGTCCAACATGCTACTGAGGAAGAGCAGAGGACAAAGAACAAGTACAAGTAGCTCCATTGTTAATGAAGTGGTTGGGCCAAAGCTGAAAGGATGCTGAGCTGCAGACGCGCCTGGAAGTGAAAGGAAAGTCTGATGCTGCAAAGAAAAATGCTGCATAGGAACCTGGTATGTAAGATCTATGAACCTTGGTAAGCTGGATGTGCTCAAACAGGAGATGGTAAGAATAAACATTGACATCTTGGGCGTCAGTGAACTAAAATGGATGGGAATGGGCGAATTCAATTCTGATGATTATCATATCTACTATTGTGGGTAAGAAGCCTGTAGAAGAAATGGAGTAGCCCTCATAGTCAACAAAAGATTGGGGAAAGCTGTAATGGGATATAATCTCAAAAATTATAGAATAATTTCAGTTACGAATCCAAGGCAGACCTTTCAACATCACAATAATCCAAGTTTATGCACCAACCACCAATGCTGAGGAGACTGAAACTGATCAATTTTATGAAGACTTACAACACTTTCTAGAACTGAAACCAAAGAAAGATGTTATTCTCATTATAAGGGACTGGAATGCTAAAGTAGGGAGTCAAGAGATAAAAGGAACAACAGAGACATTTGGCCTTGGAGTTCAAAACGAAGCAGGGCAAAGGCTAATAGAGTTTTGTGAAGAGAACAAGCTGGTCACCACAAACACTCTTTTCCAACAACCCAAGAGGCGACTCTACACATGGAAATCACCAGATGGGCAATACCGAAATCAGATTGATTATATTCTCTGCAGCCAAAGATGGAGAAGCGCTAAACAGTCAGCAAAAACAAGACTTGGAGCTGATTGTGGTTCTGATCATCACCTTCTTATAGCAAAACACAAGCTTAAGCTGAAAAAAGTAGGAAAAACCACTGGGCTAGTCAGGTATAATCCAAATCCCTTATGAATACACAGTGGAAG